CTCTTCCAACTCTATGATTCTATGATTCTATGATTCTATGATCTCAAGTTGCAGTTAACAAAGCAAGGGCATGTGACTTCGAGATCTTGCAATATCTGCCTTATTCTCCCGACATTGCACCAAGTGACTTTTTCTTGTTCCAAAAAATGAAAAATCTGTTGCGGGGCTGCCGATTTGACAACACAAATGACATCATTCATGAAGTGGAAAGTGGTTTAAGGCTCAATCTGCAGACTTCTAGAATAATGGTCTTCGGAGGGTCAAGAAATGCTGGGGAAAATGTGTAAATCTGGATGGTGACTACGTAGAGAAATGTTAACAACTACAAATCAAAACAAACTTTCTGTCAATTCTTTTAAGGGCAATAATTAAAGTGTTATGATACTCCCTGGTAGCAATCAGACAACTAGCAATCAGAGCCAAGTTGATTCAGCCCCACGTGGATCATGCAGGCTTATAATCAGACAAATGTCTCTCCAATTCAATAGTACCAGGGACTCAAATCCATTAATAAAGAATGGACAGCTAGTGTCAACCTGATGAATATATTGAAAAGATGTATTGCACTGTCTCTGTACTCAGGGAACTCTTCAGAGTAATGCAGTAGGACACAATAGCAAACTCATTATCCAATTGTTTTGTGGTGTATCGAGCTTCCTCACCCTCCCATATCCAAATGTTTTGGTGACATGTGAGGTTGTTAGAGTCTTAATGTGAAGCATAAGCTTTCTCCCAGAATGAGACCCAAGGCAGCTCACAGAGGAAATAAATACAATTTTAAAAACAATGAAAATCATCTAATTTAAATCAATATAAAATTATTTTTAAAAAAAATAAAGCACGCACCCCACTAAGAAGCCTCCCTGAGAGCACAATATATTAAAAATCTCCTTAAATAGAAAGTCTTTGTCGGCCAACAAAAGGACATCTTCAGATGTCATTGGATATCAACTCCTTTCTAGCCTAGGCTGTATCTGCACGGCAGAAATAACGTAGTTTGACACCACTTTAACTGCCATGGCTCAGTGCTATGGAACTGTGGAATTTGCATAGCAATAGCAATAGTATTTACATTTCTATATCTCTTCTCAGTGAACTCAGCACTCAGAACTCAGCACATTTTTACAATTTGTAAGTCAATTGCCCCAAATAAGCTGGGTACTCATTTTACCAACCTACAAAAGGATGGAAGGCTGAGTCAACCTTGGCACCCCTGGAATCAAACTCACAGCCTTCTGGCTGCAGGAGCAGCATTTAACTACTGTGCCACCAGGGTTTTGTAGTTTGTTGTGGTCCTAGAGCTCTCTGACAGAGAAGGCTAAATATCTCACAAAACTACAAATCCCCAAATTCCATCGCATTAGGCATCTTAGATACTACAGCCAATGTTCAGGCATTTCCTAGCTACAATAAACAATGGTCAAGGTACTGTTGTACTGCAACAACTAAAGGACCATGGATTCCACATCACTGGGCTTCATTATGGCATCGCTCAGGATAACTGAAGGCAGATAAAAACACTTTAAATAATTTAATGAACATCCATGTGGAAAGCACTAAAAAAAATCACCCAAAAGAAAGGCACTACTGAAAACATTCCCTCTCACACAAACACACACACAAACATCTCTAAAACTGAGCATTGAGCCCTAGTCAGGAACATTTTTCTTTGGAGGAGAAAAAAGTAATATTGAAAGGAAGTTGGGTTCAACAGTTAGTGCAAAATCAAATAATATTCCAAGCAGCCAGTAGATACAACTGTGAATTTATATCTAAACTTCAAACATACAAGAAATGTAGCATTATGGCTGAAATACTGCCATTGTATGATCTGGCGTTCTGTCCTCCCTTTTGCCTGCCCCTCTCCCCAACAATTAATTCAATATTGTTACAGGGGGGTGATTCCCCTCATAGGAAGTGACTGAACCGGAAAAGAGCCTAGGATAGATTGAACCTGACAGTTTGTATAAATTTGGCAACCGATAAAACAAGCCCCGAGTTCCAGGACAAGAAAACCCCCAAAACAAATCTACGTAATTGAAATGTCAGTCAGTGCACTCACTGAGCCCAGCTGCATTACTATGCCATGGGGCTGCACCTTTCCATTGGCACTGAGGATCTGATGAAATGCTGTAAACCTGACATACATGGGAGTGTGCCATGATAATGAATCATGCAGTGATTATCAGGTATTGGCAATGCATTGTGGGACTGACCTCTCACAACTACCTGTGTCTGCCTCCTAACCAATTATATCATCCTGGCTTTTTCAGTCTGCTTTTAATAATAATAATAATAATAATATATTTATATCCCGCCTCTCTGCGTAATGCAACCAGGGTGGCTTACAACATTAAAATATACATTCCATATCCCGCAATTCCACCCACCCCTTAAAATACTACTAGACGATTGACAATTTAAAACACATTTAATCCCTATATAGTCATTAAAAATGCTCTTCTATCATTGCAGCTACCAAAATCAGGATGTCTGATGGTTCTTCTGAAATATGCTCAAGTTTGTGCTTAAATGAATATTTGGGTAATCAGCTCACCATTGTTTATATTCGTTTGGTTTTCAACTGGTAGTTGGGAGTCCCTGTTGTGTTGCACACAACAGCACACAGGCTCAAAGATTTGGAAATGTTACCATTGGGCCCATAAATCCTATAACACTCCCCCAGCCAGAAAGATTGAGGAGTTATAAGAATTACGGTCTAAAAAGGTCTACATTCTACACATATATAGTTTTTAAAAGTAAGAATAGACTTTTAAGTGTATATAAGACTTTTTAAGTGTTATATAATGAACAGCTAAAATGTATCCAGTATTCACCTAAGATTTGCTATTAAGTTGTTATATGTTGTTGCAGAATAGACTTTCCAAAACTGCAATAAATGGTCAGGTGTAAGTTTGATTCCATGCCAGATTGTCATCTTGAATGTTCTTGGCCTACAACTTCCAGAAGACTTCTGGAAGTTGTAGGCCAAGAACATCTGGATAACCTGTAGGTGAAATCTGTACCTTGAGGGTTTATAGTAGAATGAAGACAGGAATTAATTGATAACCATATACAGGGCAGAAATCAACATTCAGGATGACAATCTGACATGGAATCAAACTTACACCTGACCATTTATTGCAGTTTTGGAAAATCTACCATGCAACAACATACAAGAACTTAATGTCAAATCATAGCTGAATACTGGATATATTTTAAGCAATCATTATATAACCTAACATTATATAACTTAGGTGCTCAACCTAAGCAGAGCAGAGGTGCTCAACCTATAATGGAGCAGAGGACAGAATAGAATTTCAGCACAGAATAAGTAAA